CAGATTTTTTCGGACACCCACGAGGCTCGATATGGACCAGCCCGGGTCTCTACGCATTGATGATATGAACATTCAGATTGACAATGTGAACATTCACATTATGGGTATTTTGGTAATTATGTCTCCCATAGGACTTATGAAACATAAGAAAATGATGTGGACTAAATAGAATATAAGTAGATGAAAATGGTATTTTGGTCTTCTTACCTCAAATAGGACTTAATGGAATAGTCAAAAAGAACGTAGGCTGCCCGAAGCCCTCCCGCGGCTCGGGAAAGGCTCGTTTGGGCTCGGGCTTGGGCTCGAGCCTAGTTTGAGACCCTAGGCTAGGGCCTGGCCCATCACTTTGAAGCCCGACCCGGCCCATCGGCCTGGTTAAAGCCTATTCAAGACTCGGTCCAAGGCCCGGCCCTCGCCGAGGCCTAGTGTCTTTTTTTTGTGAAAAATAATAAAATTTTGGTAGAAAAAATTAAAAAGAATTAAAAAAAAAAATGGCCAGGCTCGCCCAAGCCCGACCTAAGCCTGAGGCTAGGCCTAGGCCCATCGGCCCGACCCAAGGCTTGACCCATCGGCTCGGGCCCGGACCCAAACGAGCCTGCCCCGAGCCGCGGACAGGCTTCGTATAATAACCCCGACCTCAGATTAATACTAAAACATGATTAATTATGCTTAACAGTAATTTAGAAGGAATTTGAGATTAAATTGCATATGTATTGCATTATTTATGTGTTTCTATCTGTTCGGTGTGAAATGATCTGTTTAGGATACGACCTTAAACTGCGAATTGAAAGCCTTAACGGCGCCCGATTTCGAAATTGATTAGTGTTATGTACTAGTTAGAATTTATGTGATTTTATGATGTATTTATCTGAAATGTGATTTGGTACGATTAAATTAGATTAAATAAAACTAAATTACAAGAGTTGGACTTAATTGCCACTTTGCCATTAGTGGGCCACTTTAGAACCATTGTTTGAAGTGTGATTTATATACATCTCATATCATTCCTTCAGCTATTTTGCTAAGGTCAACCGACTAGAGAGGGAGAGGTAAGAGTTAGCTTGATTGCACAAGATTTTTGGCTTGAAATTATAAGAATTGAAGAGTAATTTGCTTAATTGAGCTCCCCTACCTTGCATTCAAGACTCAAGGTAGAAGATTCATCCTCTCATTTATGTATTCAAGTTAGTTCTTGCATGGCCCATGGTTAATTAGTGATCTAAGTCAAGAATTTGCTTAAAAGTGTTGAATTGAAGCTTAAATCTTGCGTGCATGTTCTTACATTGAAGTTTTGAGGTTGTCTCATGAGAATTGCTACATGATGTTCATATCTCGAGTATAGTCCATGATTTCATCTTGTTTTGAAAGAATTGGCTCATTTGAGCAAGTAATTAACGCTTTGATTTGGTTAAAACTCATGCATGTTACATTTGAAGTGTGTTCTTGAACTTTGGTTTGAAATTGTGTTTAATTGAACTACCCTTGGGCTTTGATTTCTCAAATTGAGCTTTGAAACATGTTATACTATGAGTTTACAAGTGTTTTTCAGAAAATTAACCCAGGAGGATCGAATTTGATGCATTAAAACTTGGTTTTGAGATTGAAGGTCCAATCTGGAATTTCCAGAATTTGGACTCACGCTCGAGCGGGGAAAGTGACGCTCGAGCGTGGAATTCGACCATCCAGTACTTTGCACTGTTTTCCAGTCCGCTCGAGCGGGGTAATTCACGCTCGAGCGGGGACCTGAGTGACACGCTCGAGCGTGGGTCGAGCGCCCGTCGAGCGTGATTTTCACCCATCCAGTACTTTTGTCATGTTTTGCAGACCGCTCGAACGGGAAAGTTTACGCTCGAGCGGGGACTTTTGGTTGCATGTCAGCTTGAGCGGGACCCCTGTTTTCTGAAAATTATGAAAAATGTTTTCTAAGACATTTTTGCATCCTCATTCCAACCTAGGCATTCCTAGGCCATGTTTAAGACTCCATAATGAGGTTAATAGTTAAACACACACTAAGAATAACGAAGTGCATTACGTCTAACTCAAGCGTGCGTTTCAAGCGGGTAATTGTATGCGTGTTCGTGTAGGTCACGCACCTCAGGACAAGTAAAGAGCCATTTGACCATCTAGTGAGTCGACCAATTGTTGAGTAATAACTCTTTAAAGTTATATTTAACTTTAATTATTTTCCAATGACATAAGATGATAAGTTCTGAAATGCTATGTTTGAATGAGTGAATGATAGTCCAATTTTCCTTGGAATGTGAACGCGGTATCCCTAGCCGAGGCCTTCGCCCAGGGGACACAATACTGAGGCACATGGTCATCAGGCCCTCGCCCGGGGAAAAGAATACCGTGGCACAGGCCCTTGCTCGGGGGAAAGAATACCGTGGCATAGATATATTACCTGGTACCGGAGGTTCCATTATGGGATTTACTATGCTTGACCAACATGATATGTTATGCTAAGGGAAGTGTACCACACATGATTTGAATATGGATATGACTGTAGTTCTTTTCTGATACGAATATGAATATGAATATGCCTACGTTTCTGATCTGATAAGAGATTGATTTTCTGATTTCTGTATTCAATATGGTCATCATTCATTAAACCCCCTTCACGCTGTTATTATTCACTAGGCTTTAGCTCACTCCTTATATTATGTATGTAGGTGAGCAAGTACGAGACCAGGCCTAGGGTTGATGACCTGCACCCCAGTTTTGTCAGCCAACCGTTGCGCCTCCCGAGGAGGTTCCAGTTGATGTCAATTGCCATGGCTGTTTTTGTAGTTATGCTAGTCTCCGTCTGTTTGTAAAGTCAGGACCTGGGAACTACAGTCTGTAAATAATATTGTAAATATTGGTGTATCTTGACTAGCATGCTTATGATCATAAATAAATTTGACTTGCTCTGTCCCATGTACGTCATCACAGCTCATTGGACTTTGTTTATTTTGTCTAGTTGCTTCCGCAGCCCCTTAATACTTGCTAATCTGCTAAGAGGCCTTTGGTAATCCGAGAATTACTGGCCGGTTACGACGTTAAACCTATAGGGGCGGGTTTGGGTCGTGACACTTCGGGCAGCCCACGGGCCGCAGGCCAATTCTACATTCCTATCAATGTGCATGTTAACATGTCAATGTGAATATTCACATTGTCAACGGCCCGGGTTGGGCCTACCCCGAGCCGGGGGCAAGCTTCGGGCAACGGACAAATTCTCCACTCCTATCAATGTTAATGTTAACATGTCAATGTGAATATTCACAATGTCACAGGTTGGGCTGCGGTTGGACTTCGGGCCGCCTACGGGCTGCGGGCCAATTTTACACTCTTATCAATGTGAATGTTAACATGTCAATGTGAATATTCACATTGTCAACGGGCCGGGTCGGGCTCGCCCTGGGCCGCTGGCTAATTTTATATTCTTATCAATGTGAATGTTAACATGTCAATGTGAATATTCACATTGTTAACAAGTTGGGTCGAGCCCGCCCCGGGCCACCCACGGGCCGTGGACAAGTTTCGGGCAGCCACGGGGCGCGGACTAATTTTACACTCCTATCAATGTGAATGTTAACATGTCAATGTGAATATTCACATTGTCAACGGGCCGCGGGGGGGGCTTTTGGCCGCTCATGGGCCGCAGGCCAATTTTATATTCTTATCAATGCGAATGTTAACATGTCAATGTGAATATTCACATTATCAACAGGCCGGACCGGGCCTACCCCGGGCCGCCCATGGGCCGCCGGAGGGTTTCGCGCCGCCACGGGACGCGGGCCAATTTTACACTCCTATTAATGTGAATGTTAACATGTCAATATGAATATTCACATTGTCAACGGGCCGGGCCCGCCCCGGCTCGCGGGCGGGTTTTGGCCGCCCACGGGCCAATTTTACATTCCTACCAATGTGAATTTTAAAATATGAATGTTCACATCATAAAATTGTTAACCATTCAAAAAATATTTATAAAAGTATCAAAATTAAATATAAGGGCATAAGTGTCCAAAAAAATAGTGTAAATCAAGAAAAATGACTTTATGGAGTAAAACTATACATACATGGGACTAAATAAGTTAAAAAATTCCTTCATAGACTTCTTGGGTTAAAACACTTCTAAATGGGATTTATTAATAAAAATCTCAATTAAATAAAACATCTATTAAAATTTAAATAATGAAATTAAATAAAATATAAACAAAATTTTAAAATAATACATCAATAAAATATCTATAAAAAAATAAATAAATAAAACATCAATAAAAAACAAAATTATTTTATTTATTAAATAAAATATAAACAAAATTTTAAAATAATACATCAATAAAATATCTATAAAAAATTAAATAAATAAAACATCAATAAAAAATAAAATTATTTTATTTTTACATTGAGACATTTAAATTTTATTGAATTTTATTAAATATAATACATAATTAAATAATAGAGGGTCAAAATAATCATTTTACATTCTAATCTCAACAGTAAATAGTCCAATGAAAATTATCCCATACCCCCCCTAGAATAGTATAATCTCCAATATGGAGATAAAGAGTCCGGCGGACTAAAAAAAACAGAAGGTGAATAAAATTTTTTTTCCATATTACAATCCCAACAATGGATAATCTTCCCAGATCCCCCAATCAAACACACCTATGCAGCCAGTCATGACACGGGGATAAGCTTACTTCCCTTTCCCTCTTCCCATAGTATAGATAAATAGACAATTTTATTGGAACAAATCATTTTTTAATTATTTTTTTAAAAGTCATATTAAAATAATATTTCCAATATTTCAATGTGAACAATAGCATATAAAATTTGATTTACTTAGCTTTGTCTTTCTTTTTTTTTTCCTTTTCTTTACATGTGGTCACTTTGGTAAATTCATTCGAACAGATATTTTCAGAACCAAATAAGAATGACTTGTCTCAAAGCTAGTAGCTTCCCCATCAAACCCCCCACCTTCCCAATCAAAAACAAAACTAAAACCTTATCCGAATAACACCTTATCTCTTCAGAGTCATCAACCTCTCTCTCTCTCTCACACACACACATAAATAAATACACCCTCAATTCTTGCCATTAGTTTCAAAGAACCATCTTTATAGAAAAACCCAATCAAAATGCAGGCAACTTTGTACTTTGCACCATCTTCCATTCCCAGATTGATACCCTCTTCAAACACCACAGCTTCACCATTGCCATGGAGGTCCATCCCTCAGTTACAAACTACACAACAATGTCCACTGATCAAACTAACTGCCACACCCAATGACACCTCAACAGTTGATTACAGCTCCATGAATTCGTAAGCTAATTTAGCATTCATCTTATTGACTTGTAAGGCAAAAAAAAAAGGCTAAATAAGTTGAAAAAAAGAAAAAAAAAAGAAAAAAAATTAATTATCTAGAACATAGGAAAAGATGCACCAAACAGGGCCTACGCTTTGGGCTTATAGCTTTCTATTGGCTTGTCACAATGTTTGAGCAAGTGAGGCTTACCTTACAATTAATTTTCAGTGTATTTCCAGCAGAAGCTTGCGAGACGGTAGGAGGAGAAGCTTGTGATGCTGAAATGTATCCTGAAGCGAAGCTCAATCCTGAAGCCAAGAACAACAAATCCAGGGCCGCCCCAGAGACGGTTGACAGAGAATATCTCGAGTACAACAATCCCAAGACGTAAGATCTCAGCCGTAGACATTAGTTTGTTCACAAGGAAGATTAAGAAATTAACATGCTTTGTCGAAAAAATGTTGCAGGGTGTTTCCAGGAGAAGCTTGTGACGATCTCGGAGGAGAATTCTGCGAGCCTGAATATCAGAGTGGAGTTTACTAGAGAATAATATAGTCTAAATATATATATATATATATATCTACCTCTCTCTCTCTATATATATATGTGTGTGTGCGTGTGTGTGAACCTAAGAAAGTTGTTGTACTTGAGAGCTAATACAAACTTCATATTTTCAGAATCACCTCATTTACATGTTGTGTTGGATAGGCAAGGTACTGGTAGAAGAAGCACCACATGTCAATCAATAAGTCTGTCTGCATCTTCATATAGCCATAGAAGAAAATTAAACTAAACTTTCATTTGGGACACTATGAAAACTCATGCACACGCATTTTGATAATTCCCTGAATTTTTCATTGAGAATTGTATTGAAAACTTGTCATCAGATCATTAGAAAATGAAGCTATACGTATTTATAATGCTTAACTCATCACATTTTGGTTATAGATATTTGGAATACTGAGATTCATGTATAAGACATGCCTAAAGAATAAGGATGGGATGTTAGAAGTAGAAATCATGGGAAATGCTTCCCTGAAATTTCACTCGAGGATAATTCTACCTATCAACATCAAGATTGTATTAAAAAATTATCACTATGTCATCAGGAAATGATACAGCTATACGCATTTGTGTGGGGTGAATGCTGTACAAAAGGAATAAAAGTTTCACAATCTCACAAAGTGATGTAGGATATCATGTGATAGTTAGTAGAGGGAAAATTGTATCCTATATCTAGAAGAGGACTAATCACTTTGTAACTAACTTTGAGATATTAAATATTGATTGATTGAGATATTTTTCTCTTAATTCTCTTTCATTCTTGATTGGGCTCATCATCATTTTGGTATCAAAGACTTAGATCCTATTCTTCGAATTATCATAGTTCATCACCTAAACTCTGACCTGAGCATCAAGATCTTGCTTGTGAGTCGCCATCTGAATTCCTCAATGGAGATCGACCTGGTGGTGCATTCGAAACCCTAGTCTGTCAATTTCAGAAACAATTTCAAAGCCCTAGGAGACAATCTGGGTTGTAATGCCCTTCAAATCCAGCCAAACCTCGAAGATTGAAGACCTATTGCAAAGAAAGTCGAAGTTGAAGTTGCGAAGCCATCAATTTAGTCCTTGGCTCAAGCCGACGTTTGGTTCTGATCTGCGAACAACTTGCACAACTGATTAGTCCGCTTCTGAGTCGTAGCCATCATTTTGCAACTTGAACTCCTTCGCGATTAACCTGGAATCCTTCGAGTACAGTTGCAACCTTCTTTTGGGACTTCTTCGAGTATAGTTGTGACACCTAGTTTTCATTCTTGATGGTTCTTGAGTCAACTTCGATCCACGAATTCGAGTATAGTCGTGACACCTAGTTTTCATTCTTGACGGTTCTTGAGTCAACTTCGATCCACGAATCTAGGGTTTCATTTAGATTCTAAATTCAAACCTGGGCTTCTCAATCTGGCTTCACTCTTGATGGTTCTTGAGTCAACTTCGATCCACGAATCTGGGGTTTCATTCAGATTCTGAATTCGAACTTGGGCTTCTCAATCTGGCTTCACTGTTGCTGTTTAACTCACATCTCCCTGGGTCTGGTATGTTTGACTCAATTACTTCTTAATGGGAACTGTTCTTGAATCAATTGTCCTACTTGTTCTTGAATCTTGTTTCAAGTATTTATACTGTGCGTTGTAGTACATTGAGTTGGGTTGTTTTGTGATATTGTGAAATTGGATTTAGTATTGTGTGCAATTCTGGGCTGTTTGGATGATATTGGGTTGTTGTTATGGCTAATTGGGGTCAAAGTCGTAAGGGTGGTCGTGGTAGGGGTTATGCCCCGAATTTATGTAATGATACCAAGGGTAAAGGGGTCCCATATCCGAGAGATGAAATGGCCGAGATGAGACAGCAAATTGCCATTCTAACTAAGACGGTGCAACGTTTCCTTCCTCTTCATACCAATGGTAGTGATGGTTTCGATGATATCGAAGGTGGTATACATCATTCTTTTGATAGTATCTTTTGGACTCCACGACAGCATCGAACGGATGTGGGTAGGATGAAACACAAATGGGGGAACAATATAAAAGATTGAGTTTCCCTACTTTCATGAAAGCCTTAAACCCGACGAATTCATTGATTGGCTAAACACTATCGAGCAGATCTTTGATCATGGTGAGATTTCCAACGATAAGAAGGTCAAGCTTGTTGTCATTCTATTAAAAGGAAGAGCTTCCGTTTGATGGGAACAACTTCAACTTAATCGTCGGCAATGTGGCAAGGAGAAAATACGTGATTGGGAGAAGATGAAGAAGTTGAAGAGTCATTTCTTACCATTCAACTACCTTCAAAGTGTATACCAAGCACTTCATGTTCCTAAGCAAGTTGGAAGTGTGGGTAAGTACACGGAGTCTCTCTATCAACTCATTGCTCGGGTTGATTTAAATAAGAGTGAAGAGCAACGAATGGCTTGTCATGTGAGTGGCTTGAAGCCTTCGATCCAAGATGTTCTTGCCTTGCGTACATTGTGTAATGTTTCCGAAGCCTATAATCGAGCCTTAGCTATGGAAAAGCAACAAAGCCGTTGTGTCTCTCAAATGGGACAATACTTCCAAGGAGGGTTTCGAGGTGGTTCTAGGCCGAGTCCTTCTCCTCCTAGCTTTGCCAAAGCTATTCCTCCTTCCAAGTTTTTTTGATAAGGGTGCTTCTTCCTCTCAAACTCCTCGTTCTAATGGTGCTTCCAAAAGCCGAAATCCACCTCAAGGTGGAACTTTCAAGTGTAGAGAACTGGGCCATAGATCGTCCGATTGCCGTAAGAATATGGGTACTAATCGAAAAAAGGCACTTCTTATTGAAGAAGTTAAGGAACATGGTGTCTATGAGAGTGCTCCAATTTATGACACTTCGGACAATATTGAAATTGGTGGAGATAGTGATAAAGAAGAGGGTCTTGCTCTTATATTGAAAAAGACGCTTCTATTACCAAAGCTAGAAAGCCAAGAAGATTAGTTGCGTACCAATATCTTTTTTACCACTTGTAATATTGGTAGACGTGTTTGTAACATGATCATTGATAGTGGAAGTTGTAAGAATGTGGTTTCTCAAGAGGTGGTGGCTAAACTCAACCTTCTGGTGGAGGACCATCCACATCTTTATTCCCTATCTTAGTTCAAGAAAGGCAATGAGATCAAAGTGACCACACAGTGTTTGATTGCTTTTTCTATCTAAAAGAAGCATGCTCGTCACATTCTACTTGGGCGTCCTTGGCAATACGACCGGCAATCTTTGCATGATGGCAAACGAAACACTTACACCGTTCTCAAGAATGAAAATCATTTTACCTTGCTTCCAATGAAGGTGAAGGTTACTTCTAAGCCATCTTCTAGTTCTACCACTTCGCTTGCTTCCAAGGAATTTTTGGAAGAAACTAAGGATTTTGGGGTTGTATTGGCCTTGGTTTCGGTTGTGCACATGGATGCTCCTAAGGAAATGGTTGTGCACATGGATGCTCCTAAGGAAATGGTTGATGTGACTATTCTTTAGAAAGAGTATGCTGATGTCTTTCCCCAAGAGCTTCCTCCTGATTTGCCTCCCATGCGTGACATCCAACATTGTATTGATTTGCCCTGGTCGGCTCTTCCAAATAAACCGGCCTATCGCATGTCTCCAAAGAAGAAAGAGGAATTGAAAAGGCAAGTAGACAAGCTTTTAGCTAAAGGGTATATACGACCTAGCCTTAGTCCATGTAGTGTTCCAGCCCTTTTGACACCCAAGAAGGATGGTTCATGGCGCATGTGTGTAGATAGCCGAACAATCAACAAAATTACCATCAAATATCGCTTTCCAATTCCAAGATTGGGTGATATGTTGGATTACCTTGCCGGGTCAAAGGTGTTCTCTAAGATTGATCTTAGAAGCAGTTATCATCAAATCCGCATTAAGCCGGGTGATGAGTGGAAAACGACTTTCAAACCTATTTAAGTGGCTTGTGATGCCATTTGGACTTCCCAACGGTCCAAACACTTTTATGAGGGTGATGACACAAATGTTGCAACCACTTTTGGGTGTTTGTGTAGTAGTTTACTTTGATGACATTTTGATCCATAGTCGAAGCTTGGAAGAGCATTTATGCCATCTTCGGCAAGGCTTTGAGCTTTTGAGGCAGGAAAAGTTCTATGGCAACACCAAGAAGCGTACATTTGCCATTGATTAAGTCATCTTCTTGGGTTATGTTGTGTCTTCTCGTGGAGTACTTATGGACATGGAGAAGGTCAAGGCAATTATAGATTGGCCTACTCCTAGTATCCAAGAAATGCGGAGTTTTCATGGGTTGGCTACCTTCTATAGGTGGTTTATCAAGAACTTTAGTAGTCTCGTAGCTCCTTTAATTAGTCTTCTCAAGCTTAAGAATTTTGAATGAAACAAAGAAGCCGCCGATAGCTTCCAATTTTGAAGAAGGTACTTACTGAAGCTCCAATTTTGGCACTACTTGACTTTGACAAAACCGTTGAACTTGATTATGATGCATCGGAATTGGGCATTGGTGGCGTCCTTAGCCAAGAAGGGAGGCCAATTACCTTCTTTAGTGAAAAGTTGAACGAGGTTAAGCTCAAGTATTCTACTTATGACTTAGAATTTTACACCATCATCTAAGCCATCAAGCATTGGAGCTACTACCTGCTTACAAGGAGTTTGTGCTCAACACTGACCATGAGGTTCTCAAGTACATCAATAGCCAATCACATCTCAAGAAAAAACATGCCAAATGGGTGGCCTACTTGCAACAATTTACATTCTCTTTACGACATAAATCGGGGGTTCTTAATAAAGTAGCCAACAATTTGAGTAGGCAAACGACTCTTTTGATTGAGATAAAGAATAAAATTGTGGGTTTTGATAAGATTTTTGATGCTTTGCAAAGTGGGGATAGGGCTACTTATCCAAGCTACATAATTAGGGATGGCTTCCTCTTCTATGGCCTTAAGTTGTGTGTGCCTAGTTGTTCCTTAAGGACACATTTAAGGACAAGGCCATTGGGTTACTTCAAGATGCTTACTATTGGCCGGGCATGACCAAGGATGTGGGCAACCATGTGAAGTGGTGTCAAATTTGTCAAAGAAGCAAAAGGACTACAACTAATGCGGGATTATATATGCCTTGGCCGGTGCCGAATAGTCCTTGGCAATGCATTAACATGGACTGTGTCAAGTTTACCTCCTACACAAAGGAGGAGTGATTCTGTCATTGTGGTGGTGGACCGTTTCTCTAAGATGGCACATTTCATACCTTGCAAAAAGACCATGGATGCTACAAGTATTGCTAAC